ACCCAAGTGCCACGCCGCTAGTATCGTGGTTAAGCGGGGTGAAATATATGAAATAGCAGAAGCCCCGACGTAAAGTTGGGGGGTCGAGGCACATGCTTCTGAAGTTTATGGCGTCCCTGTCTACCATACTACAGTAAGTGACGCAATTCAAAATACGTGCGAATTCATTAAAAATCTCTAATCAGTAGGAAACATACACAAGTGCATCGACCAAAGCTCCCAGGTCTTGGCATAGAGGATTATCTGGGCGTAAGACGACGTCGATTTCCGCCCAGAAATTCTAAACTTCGGCGGCGAAAGGAATTAAAAACGTCCTGCTTGGAAAGGGTTTTTTTCGAAAGCCGTTGGCCAAAAAGTGGGGTGCACAACGTTTGAGATCCCCTGACCCAATCGTCTAGATTTTATTCTTCACTTACTTCATCTGTTGTATGACTCAACAGGGTGCTCTAGTATAGAAAGCAGCTACATCAAATCTTTCAACACGAATGTCAATACTTGTGCTTGAGAGGGCGTATCTGCGTATACTTCCCTGCCCCAAACAGGCATTAGTGCCGTTTATTTTGAATAGTAAGGAGAAAGTGCTACCAGTAGCGACTGTGAAAGTGTTATTAAATAGTGTATTTCAGTGAAAACGAGCCATGCCGAGTTCTAAACTGAATTTTGAACATCGTGTGCGACTGAGAATCCGTTGCTTTATGCCGTTTGCCAGTCCGCGACCATTATGCTATTGCCTCAGCAGGAGGCTCTCATTGACTGACTTATCGTTTACCGTAGTGGTCGTCATTCTTAAGAAAGTTGGAGTTGTCTTTTGATTCAAGTCTATTATTTTTGACACGGTCAGGATTTTCAGGCCGTGGCAGCGCCCGCGTCCAAAATCCCAGCTGACTTAGATGTAGCGGCCAGAAGAAACTCGAAAAATCCCCCGTTATTTGATGCACCTTCCCGGCATGTTTCAGACTTGTCTACAAGTAATTAGTGACCAGGATAATTTACTTTCCAGATGCACTGAAATTGTATTTTAGAAGCACTTTATCACTTTTAACTAAACCATATAATTGGTTGTATCAGTCTGACACTTGCCTTGAATTATAGCGCTGTTTTAGCGAAATATGAAGTTTTGTTTTCGCGCGACGTCACACGTTTACACCTCGCGTCAATTATTCGCTTGAAGAGAGAATCAATCCACCTGTCTTGTTGGCCTTGACCGCCCTCATCTTCCTCCCTGGTTCAAGGCTCAAAACTGCATTCACTGACTGCTTATGTCTAGCTTAATGGCTCTAAGTGGGCTTCGTCGCTGTTATGCTAGAAAAGACAGAAGCGCGACATTGGTTCATAAAACGCATTGGACAAACTGTGTGAACCCTTAACTATTCCTCTACATGCGTATGACACACGTTGGACGGAGGACCACGTCACTTTGTGGCGGTCAAGGATGTGAGATCGACTTAAACCACGCACAAGAAGTTCGTTTCGTCTACTGTCAAAAGTCAGGGAGCTGTGAGGACTAGTTTATTCTGTACACAGGGCAGGTGCCGTAAGTTGGCGATTTGCTTGCAACAGAGAAAAGCGTCCGTTCACGGAGAGCGTCAGTCACGGTGTGTCTTGTTAACGCGAGTGTGTGTCTAAGTTAGCAGGAGGGGGTGACTGTCTGCGTGGTGGTCGTGTGATTGGACTAATTAGGGGACGAATGGAGGGTGCATACTCACAAGGCCTCACGGGAATCAAGCCAGAGCGTTCGACGCGCGTTAGGTGATACTAGTTTGTGAGGGCAGCCGGGAGTCACTGCAGCTGGACAGGAGGGGCCCCAGTTCTAGCCGGTGTGGGTGGTCGTGTGTCAGTGGCCTGTCAGTGCTTGTCACGGCCATCGACCGACAAAACGGAGCCGGAGAAAAGGGGGCTGGAGCGGCTGCTACAACTTCAACGACTGTCTGATTTCGTCCGCAGTCAGACGTCAGACTCCGAATGTTACTGGAACATGTAAAATGGACGAGAGGTTGCGGCTGATACTTCGACCTCCTTCCTCATAGAAACTGGGTACATTCTGCGCTGTAACCCGGCTGACGTGCTGAGGGGCACGGTTTGCAAAACTGCTATCTGTCAGAGTTTGCGCGTTTCTCCTATAAAACGAATGCTTTGGCCTTCTCATGTGTCCTTCTTATGTGCTGCCAGAACCTCTGAGATGGCACTGACGAAGTCCTATATTTATGAACGATCGGTGAGCGCCCCCTACCATTATTTCTAACTATAATAGTTTGCCTACTTTAAGATTGTAAGTAACAACTTAGTTGTTTATTTACCATGAAGTCCCTGGCAGACCGCCCGCCGGTGATACCCCCAGCGGTCTCAGAAAAACGTAAGCGCGCGGCGGAAGACAGCACCCGCGAGGATGCACCGATGGAAACGGATGGCAATGCAGAAGAGGATGTCAGTTCAGCGAAGCGACCACGCCTCACAATGCGCGAGCGCGAGCTGGCCGAGGGTGATGATTTCTACCTGAATCTGCGTGACCACTGGTTGCTGAAAAACAAAAACGAGAAGAACGACATTATTCCAGAAATCATTGAGGGTCACAACATTGCTGACTTCTTCGACGAGGACATCGAGGCCAAGCTGAATGAACTGGAGGCTCAGGAGCGGGAGCTGGAGAATGTGGGCTTCTATGAGGCCGGCGATCTCCACGACCCTGACGACGATGACCCAGAAATGCAGAAAATTAGATCTACGGCCAGAAAGTAAGTCGCAACCGCCCCTCCCTGCCTGCATTTCTTATCAACTGTTATTCTGTTCGAGGGTCAAAATGTTGTTATATTTTCACCCTGGTAGCCTACTTTTACCACTCGTGCAAAGATTTCTGCAATTTGTGCTCTTCACAAGTTTTCCTTTAAACCAGCCCGGTCCTCTGTCCCACTGGCTTTCCGTCCTTTTTATTTCAGTGGTTATTGTTGTTGAGTAGGTACTTGCTCCTTTGGAAGCCATTGGTTCCTGGCGTTTCTGACCAGGAACGCTGCCCCCCGGTCATTCAGAAACCTAGTCAAGCCGTGGCCTGTCAGACAGGCGTTGTGTGTGTCCAGTTGGTGGGGGTTCTCGGGTTCGAATCCCGATGTCTTTATCCTCCTCTTCGGCGCAGCATGTTTGGTTTCCAAAACTGTGCCGGAGGTCGTCGGACAAAGTTTTATTGGCTGGCATTTGACATTTGCCGTAGGTCATGACTCTAGTATAAATCACCAATTTGTCCCACTTGAGGATATTACCTTTGCACATTCGGTGATTGCTTTTTCATGAGACTTGCTACTTTCTCAGCTGAAGACTACCCCACCGTCCGTCCCCTGCGGACACTTTGCTAACAGACAGGCTCTGCATCTACCTTCTGGTGCTTCAAACTAAAACCAATCAAATGTCATGATGTTGATTAAAGCACACGTAATTTCGTTTGATTCCTCAACCAGCCACTTCTACTCCCGGGAGCCCCCAGCCTCATTTACATTGGCTGCTTTTCTCGCACAAATGATGGTTTTACGTTAAAAAAAACTTGGCGCGGACGAATTTTTCGCAAGACCTGATGTTGAGGTCAGACTGCTGAGATGGCTAACGACCGTGAAACCGCCGTCTGTGGCTGCGTTTTCTGTTCACGGAATACCGCAGGGGCTTCTTTTGCAAAATTTACGTGTTTATGAAAATATGTAATGACATTATGGTATCTCGTGTACAATTCTGTCGTTGTCTATCCAGTTGCACCTATTCTATGTGTCGCCATTTGTCAATTTCGCCGTTTGTCATATCTAGTTCAGTAGTGTGTGCCATTTCCTTTTTGGGGTTCGTTCGTCTTGGGTTGTGTTCATCATAAAGGGCTAACAGCGATTTCCATTTTACGGTCATGGCATGTTGCTAAACTAATTGTCATAAATATTCTTGTTGCTGTGGTGAGGTGCCGTTGACCCAGAATACCTATGCGGGTCAAGAGGATACCGCTGGAGTTTTCAGCCCAGCACCCCACTGAACCCAGTTTTACGGTAGATGTGCCACTTCATGAAATGTTAACCGAGATTCAGAAATGCGTTTTCGACTCAAAAAGATTGCCTAAGTAGCAGTGCAACATTAATCACCATGCAGCATAATCATAAAATATTTTAGTTATATCAGAGTGCCGGCTTTTGAACGAACTTTCAGGTGGCCTGCAAAAACTACGCACCGTTACAAATGACTACTTAAGTGGTATGAATTTTTCTCATAATCAAAAACACAAAACCCAACTAAACCCTTCCTTCAAGTATAAAATTTGAGGGAAATTACGTTTTCATCGAATTTTATGCTTCAGATTTTCAATTATGACGCTTTTAAGACCATAAACTGCCTCTTCATAAAACGTTGTGTCTCTGCATTTACTAATGTTGCTTGTAAAGTTTACAATATGGCCCAAATCCACTGCCAAACTTTATGAATTCCATATGTTCTCCTCTTAATATCATGTAGAAATGTATGACTTTCCGTACAGGGAAAGCCTACATCTTGCAGTTTGGAAATCCTGAATGCAAGTGTAACGGCAGGTATAAAATTTAAAGAAAACGTTATTTTCCAACAAATGAGTAAAGAAACAAGTATTTTTTGCACATTCTCTATGAAATGTATTTGAATTTATAAGGCCATCGAAAATCGATGAGAAAAATGCATACTTCTTGATCAGTAATTTTGGCAGGCGGCTGAAAAGAATTTCGTTCAAAAGCCGACACCATGAAGTAACCAAAATATTTTATGATTATGCTGCACGGTGATTAATGTTGCACTGCTACTTAGGCAATCTTTTTGAGTCGAAAACGCATTCCGGAATTTCTGTTAGCATTTCATAAGTGATCGCATTTACCGTAATTTTCATACCGACTCCACTACATCCTTTCGATCGTTTCCCTTCCCAAACACTGTATACGAACTGGCCAGTTGTGCATCATGCTACTGAAATGAACATCGATTTCGGTCTCTCCTCCCGCCCCCCCGCCAGCGTAGGACATCCAGCAAGGCGTAAACTGCTCACCATTCGTTCATTTACCTGCCCTTGATTTCACTCCCCCCCTCCCCGCAGGATTCGTGAGGCCCGTGCTCTTCGCGTTCTCGAGGCGCACGCAAGGAAGAACAAGCAGAAGTCACGCGTGCCGCGCAGCCAAAAGGGTGTCAGCGGAAAGGAGATGAAGGTCGAACTCGGCAAACTGGGTCTCCCAGTCGATGTCAGCAAGGAGGTAGGTGTCGCCTTTTTCCTGCCGTTAAGCCGCTGCTGTGTTAGGCCAGATCGGGAACCACGACCCATGACATGCATGAGCCTCTAAGCTACATGTGTGTGTGTGTGCCACGTTTTGGGCGGAGGCTCACGCCACCTCGTCAGCCAGCGCTCCTGATCTTGTCTCCAGCCGCCCGATAAGTTGCGTCAGGCCATCTGAACGCCGAAGGATAGAAAGCCGATGCTGGCAATTCAGCAGACTCTTCGGTATACTAGATTTGATGCACTTGAAATTGTCACGACATACCCGTGGCATGGAAAGTTGCCATTGGAATTTGGTTCAGGCGATGAAGTGGGCGCGTGGAAGTCCGCCCACAGCAAACACATTCATGAGCAATTCGCAATTGTGCTCACTTCTTGACAATGGCAACTGCTCGTCACACTTGCAACCAGCTAGCTTGAAAAAGGTTTGCTGAAATATTCCGTGTTAATACGCCCTGGGCATAAGGCTGTCCCAGGACGCCATCATCATCATCATCATCATCATCATCATCATCATCATCATCATCATCATCATCATCATCATCATCATCATCATCATCATCATCATCATCATCATCATCAATCAATCAATCAATCAATCAATCACTATCATCCACTCCAACCGGATCGATCGATGAGCGCCTCTCTACCATCATAAGTCATAGGCCACCTAACGGCACGCGGCCACCTCTTCAAACCTCGGTGGCGCCGAAATCCCCACAGTGGGCGACAGCCGTTTGAGTCACAAATTGGATAAGTCATGACTCTCCATAAACAACTTTCATCCCCAACATGTGTAGCGTTAAAACTCATGGAAGGAGCGCAGCTGAATAGTAAACGGGAATGTCTCTTAGGAGCAGGGCTGCAAACCATTACCGTGCCGATTATTAATACCTGCGTTGAATTTTTGTCAACCGTTGCCCCTGTGAGACGGTAGCGACCTCGTCCCCTAAATGCCAAAATGGGTATTCCTGTGTCATTGGATGTTCATACACCCTTCCCCTAATCCCTGCAGGTTCAGCGAAGCCAGTCACGGAAGCGAGAAGCGGTTAAGCGTGCCCAAACACCGGATCCCTCGCATGTGGCTGCTGTGGAGCGCGCCAACCGACCCCGATCGCGTTCCGGTGTGCGAGACGAGAGTATGCATAAGGTGGCCCGCGCCAAGTCCCTGCTCGCCCTCCGGAAAGTCTCCGCCCAGTCACGCAAGGGCGAGGCCGATCGTCACATCCCCGACCTCAAACCGAAACACCTCTTTGCAGGCAAGCGTTCCATCGGAAAGACGGACAGGCGTTGAGATATCTCACTCTTCTCAGCCTCTCCTAGCCCTCATCTTCGGCATGCCTACGCCTTCTTCTGACAGAATAAATTGTGATCATTTTCTTACTGATGATTGCCGGCCTTTTTGATTTCTCTGAAAGTGGATTTTTCTGCGCGCAGTGGCATTACATTGAGGGCAGAGACCACACCTTCAAGAGCCGTTCGAATTGTTTCCTTGGGTTGGTTCATTGCCGGTAAGCCAGTTTCTTGTAGTTAACGTCGTGGTAAGTGGTGATAGTACCGGAGAATGGGCTAGCTGGCCAGGTTTAAACTTACAGAAACGAGTACTTGATCACCAGGGGTTGAGGTGCACTGCAGCCTATTTTGCTCACAGTCCTTCCCGCGGCCGACTGGCTAATCGTGGTCTTCACGTCTGTTGCTGATTCGTGTCAACTCAGAGACTGCCACGTGCGTGATGCAGTCGGTCGCCGTGCGCAAAACCCACACTCAATCGTCTTGACCTGCTCTTTTCGATGTAGCTTGATGGGTGCTGGAGGAGAGTGTGAGATAGGCGCTGCGCAATGTACCGCTGTTGTCCGTAGATGGCGTTGACTCCCACTGACCCCGAAAAAATACATTTCCGTTGGAGAGACT